GAGCTTGCCTATAACTTGTTTAAGAATATGATTAAGCAAATGATTGCAAACTTGCATCTGAATCTAAAAAAAGCAGAGAAACATATGCAGGCAAAATCTGCTAAAAGTGACCTCGAAGAGGAATTTCCACCAAGAAAAAAAGATCTAGTAGAACCTGAAGACTAATCTTGGAAAATTTCTCTATGCAAATGCAAACTGAATAAGTTGTATTCCTAATAAAAAGATTAGTGGGAGAGAGAAGAAAGTAGAAGACTTTGATCATTTTTTCTTGGTGGAAATTCCTCCTCGAGGTCACTTTTAGCAGATTTTGCCTGCATATGTTTCTCTGCTTTTTTTAGATTCAGATGCAAGTTTGCAATCATTTGCTTAATCATATTCTTAAACAAGTTATAGGCAAGCTCTGTATCTTCAACACGTGGCTATCTGATGACAAAGCTCTTAGCTTCTTCAAACAAATTATATCCAGTTCTATAATTTCATCTGACTAATGCGATTTTCCAAAGTATGCCAGTCTTTAATGCATTCATTTGTGGATTTTTTCAATCAGTAACAATAAAAGGTAACAATTCTATTTATTGTTGTTGAGACAGGGTCTGGCTCTGTCACCCAGGCTGGAGTATAGTGGTGCCCTCTTGGCTCATTGCAACCTCTGCCTCCAGGGCTCAAGCCATTCTCCCACCTCAGCCTCCGGAGTAGCTGGGACTACAGGCCTATACCACCATGCTTGACTAATTTTGGTATTCTTTTGTAGAGACAAGGTTCAGCATATGTTGCCCAGGCTGGTCTCAAATCCTGGGCTCAAGTGATCCTCCTGCCTTGGCCTCCCAAAGCGCTGGGATTATAGACTTGAACCACTGTGCCCAGCCAACAACTGTTTTTAACACATGCCATAAGCTAAAACAACATCTTTGAAACTTTTCTCCCCACTCATCTTCCTTTTTTGAGCAAAAGTGACTCTTTTGCTTTAGCCTTCTTCAGTGCTTTCATTTGTTACTCCTTGCCAATAATATTAGGCATGAGGTATTGACTAAAGCATTATATGATGTTAATCTTCATATACTTGTAATTTTAAAAACTCTTTCCTGCCCAGCAAATTTTAACTCTTTCCTTTAAGGCTCAACTCATAGCTCCCTATGCTTTTTAATGCTTAATCACTTAGCCAGTTTATAATTATGAATTATATGATTATTTGATTATTGTCTGTCTCCCCATTCCTCACCACATCACTATAAGCTCCTTGAGATTAGAGTCCTCATCTTATTTTATATCCTCAGCTTCTAACATGTTGTCTGGTGCATAGTTGTCACTAAATAAATGTTTTTGAATGAATTAAGTAATGTCAGCAGATGACTAGGCATTATATGCTTCTTGAATTCTTTCCTAATCTCTTCAACCACCACACCTATCTCCCACCCTACTGACAGAGTTAAATATTTCCTCTTCTGTATGTCAATGAAAATTTGCAGGTAACTTGGGTGACCAATCGTATACCCAGGTTTACCTGAGACATCCCTAGTATATGCCTATTGTTCCTACATAACTATTAGTAAACACTCCCTTCATTCACAAGAGTATCCCAGCTTGAACTGTAATTGAAATATTCATCCTCTATAGAAGTGCATTTCTAGGGTCAATTCTAGCCAAGGTTTTACTAGTTGGTTGAGTTCTTGAGGACAGGCTTAGTTCTGGTTTATCATTCTAACCCTGGGACTTAGCACAGTCTCTGCCACTCAGGGACTGCTCTTTTGAATAAAAATACATTCTTGCTATCTTGTCCCAAGGACTTTTGCATTATAAAAGAAACACATACACATAGACAAACACATGACACCTTCACTTACACAGGTTTTAGGAAAGATCGCCAACATTTTTCTTAAGATATTCTTGCTTAAGGTTTTGAAAGAGAAATTCAAGTTTATTTCTGCTAAGCCACTTATTTCTCTTTTACTTTAGGTTATTGAGTAGGAAACTTCCACAATAATAACAAGTAATTTCAATGAGGGTTTCCTATGTGTGTGAGATTTTTCCCGAATTTAAATTTGCTATTGTATGTCTACATAAGTATGGTGAAAGTATTCACACCAATGACAATTTAGACATAACTAAATATTTGATAGTATGAAATAAACATTCTATGGTCCACTAGCTAAGAGTAGTCTAACTTATCTTTTATAGGTACCTCCCATTTGCCAAGAAAATATACATTTAATCTTACAAACAGTTGGTTTTAAGTGACTTTGAAGCTTTGAATAAATCCAGGGGAAATATTTCAATGTTCTGTGTACACTTGAAATTATTTTGAAGAAAATAAATTGTAAATCAGATAGCAAATGTGAAACTTACAAGGAAATGGGTGTCTATGTGTTGACTAATTCACTAAGGGAAAATTTTAAAGTCACAAATGGTAATGTAATCATTCCAGGAGTCATTATATGCTGCCTGAATGTCATTTCTGAGATGTTGATTACGTTTGGCTCTGTTTCCAAATGTGACTCCTAAAGTAAGCATGCAGTTATCCATAGCATTCTTCAAACCATTAGAGGTTTTTCTTATTTGTAGAAACAGAATTGAGGCAGGGCATGGTGGCTCACGCCTGTAATCCCAGCACTTTGGGAGGCCGAGGCGGGTGGATCACCTGAGGTCAGGCGTTCAAGACAAGCCTGGCCAGCATGGTGAAACCTCGTCTCTACTAAAAATACAAAATTAGCCAGGTATGGTGGCACATGCCTGTAATCGCAGCTACTTGGGAGGTTGAGGCAGGAGAATTGCTTGAACTCAGGCAGTGGAGGTTGCAGTGAGCTGAGCTCATGCCAATATTGCCACTGCACTCCAGCCTGGGCAACAAGAGTGAAACTCCATCTCACATACACACAAAAAAAGAAACAGAATTGAGGTGTAACTAGAAATCTGTGGCACACTGGTCACACAAGTACCCTGGTTTTATTTATTTATTTATTTATTTATTTATTTATTTATTTATTCATTTATTTATTTAGACGGAGTCTCACTCTATCGTCCATGCTGGAATGCAGTGGTGTGATCTCACCTCACTGCAACCTCTACCTCCCAGGTTCAAGTGATTTTCCTGCCTCAGCTTCCCAAGTAGCTGGGATTACAGGCACCCACCACCACGCCCAGCTAAATTTTGTATTTTTAGTAGAGACGGGGCTACACCTTGTTGGCCAGGCTGGTCTCGAACTCCTGACCTCAAGCGATCTGCCCGCCTCGGCCTCTCAAAGTGCTGGCATTACATGCATGCACCACCGTGCCCGGCCAGTAGCCTATTTTTAGATGAGTGAGCACAGCTTCTGCCTAAAGACCTCATCAGTGTTCACAGGTCTATAGCCTTATTTCACTGTCAGTCTTCTTTTAAAAGGAAAACCGAACCCATGCTGGTATCATTACCTGCTTTATGTATATTGAGAACCTATTGTGTTCTCTTCACTTTTCTAAGCATTTTCCTAACATATATTATACAGTCCCTACAATTAACCAGTGAGGTAGCTATCAATATCCTCATTTTACATATGAAGAAACTGAGGCTCAAAGGAAAGAACACACTTAGGCCAGGTTAGAACTGAAACCTGCTGGGACAGATGAGATAAGTTAGAGAAGGAGGTTAGAAATAAAATTGTTGCTGGGTGAGGTGGCTCACGTCTATAATCCCAGCACTTTGGGAGGTGAGGGCTGGCGGATCACGAGGTCAGGAGTTTGAGACCAACCTGGCCAACATAGTGAAACCCCGTCTCTACTAAAAATACATCAATTAGCCGGGCATGGTGTCGTGTGCCTGTAGTCCCAGCTACTCCAGAGGCTGAGGCGGGAGAATCGCTTGAACCTGGGAGGCGGAGGTTGTGGTAAGCCAAGATCATGCTACAGCACTCTAGCCTGGGCAATACAGCAAGACTCCATCTTAAAAAAAAAAAGAAATAACATTGTCCCTAATTCTCTTCTGTAATTAATATTCTTTTTATTATGTTCTGGTTTCTCTTGCAAGTTGAGTTGGTTTTATCCTTTTCTCCTTTTGTTTATCAATTATAATTTAAAAAGAGGCTTCAGACAGGAAAATGCACACACACCCTTTCTTATCTGAAACACACCTCTCTGTTACCCTTACAGCCTGCTTTAGTTGTCTGAAGCAATTTTAATGGTTTTCTAGTCTCCCTAGTAGATGGGTTCCTGATATTTTGTAAACAGTAACGCTAGAGAGCATGTGCTTTTTTTTTTTTCTGAGACAGAGTCTCACTCTGTCTCTGTCACCCAGTCTGGAGTGCAGTGGCGTGATCTCAGCTCACTGCAAGCTCCACCTCCTGGGTTCACACCATTCTCCTGCCTCAGCCTCCCGAGTAACTGAGACTACAGGTGCCCGCCACCACGCCTGGCTAATTTTTTGTATTTTTAGTAGAGACAGGGTTTCACCATGTTAGCCAGGATGGTCTCGATCTCCTGACCTCGTGATCCGCCCACCTCGGCCTCCCAAAGTGCTGGGATTACAGGCGTGAGCCACTGTGCCCAGCCCACATGTGCTTTTCAGGAGTGAATTTTAGCCTTAGCGAGAAGGATATGGTGTGGGATCTGGAAACACTTCCTGGCAGAAAGGGAGAGTCTTTCCATGGAAATATATGTATGTGTATATATATATATATTCTTGCTCCTTGTTGAAATGTGATGTTTCTCTTTCTCCAAATTGTTGTGGTAAGCAAATAACTTTAGCTGTTATTTTGTGTGCATGTCATGGGGGGCGGGACGGGGGGCAGGAATTACAGCATTATTACCACCACTGAAATATTTATGTCTAGAATTATTATAGAATTAGGGACTCTTGAAGTTTAGTCTAATCATTGTAAGCAGAAAAATCAAATGCAAAAAAAAACAAAAACAAAAACAAAAAAAAAACAACAAAAAAAACCCCTGTAGTTTCTTAAGAAGAAACCTCTGTATTCTAAAATGCTTTTCCTAAAGTTTACTAAATATGATGTGGTATGTGTGTTTATTTGTAGGGAGTGGTAACATCTGAACATACCAAACCAAACAGGCAAACTCTTGCACCATCGCTACCACGACATTTTACCACAAAAGAATGCCACTGCATGTGGATTCCAAGCAGGCTAAAAAGAAAAAGAACTGATTAGACCTCAGACGACCCACTAAACGGGATGACGGCCACAGCTGAGGTAGAGACACCAAAAATGGAGAAGAGTGCCTCCAAGGAAGAGAAGCAGCAGCCTAAGCAGGACAGCACAGAGCAGGGCAATGCTGATTCTGAAGAGTGGATGAGCTCTGAGAGTGACCCTGAACAGATAAGCCTTAAGAGTAGTGACAACAGCAAGAGCTGCCAACCTAGGGATGGTCAGTTGAAGAAAAAGGAGATGCCCTCCAAGCCACACCGCCAGCTCTGTCGATCTCCCTGCCTAGATCGTCCAAGTTTCTCCCAGAGCAGCATTTTACAGGATGGTAAACTTGACTTGGAGAAGGAATACCAAGCTAAGATGGAGTTTGCGCTAAAGCTGGGCTATGCAGAGGAACAGATTCAATCAGTGCTAAACAAGCTGGGCCCAGAATCACTTATTAATGATGTATTGGCAGAGCTTGTCAGACTTGGGAACAAAGGTGATTCAGAAGGGCAGATCAACTTGAGCCTGTTAGTGCCTCATGGGCCCAGCTCCAGAGAGATTGCAAGCCCTGAATTGTCTCTTGAAGATGAAATAGACAACAGTGACAATTTGAGGCCAGTTGTCATTGATGGAAGTAATGTGGCAATGAGGTAAGCCTGGTATGTTTTTTCTCTCATTTTAAAAACCTGCCCTGAGCTCATAGAAATTTTCTTCCTTTGCAAATCATTATAAGAGGCACATGGCTATTGACTGTGGCGTGTGTTTCTGAAGGTGGCCAGAGACTAAAATGATCCTGCTCTTGCCTTTTCTTCCTCCACTGAAGTTGCTGCCAATTTGTTTCCAGGTGTTCTAAAGGCAGCTTCAACATCAGTGATGATGCTTCAGAGGAGACATAGCCATTCAGCTTTGTTCCTTTTGTGGTCTGCTGTCCTACCCCTACTTTACTAGACTAATCATCCTGAAAATGCTGCTTTTATAAAGTCACTTTGCGGTTTGCTTAGGAACTTTCAGTAACTCTCAACTGTTATTATACCAAATTTTGATCCTTTTTCCTGGCTTTAAGGCTCTTTGTGATCTGGCCTTTCCCTCCTCCCATTTGATTGTATCTCTCATGCTTACTGCATTTACATCTATCTTTTTAATGGTCTCCATGAAAATTATGCTGATTTCTATCCCCACCACCTGTGTTCATGCCTTTTCCCAACTTAGAAGTGCCTCCTTTGTATCTTCATAGCCTTCAAAATGCACCACCTCCACAAAGAACTTCCTAATTTTTCTGATTCCAATGATGATCTCTGAACTACAGTATCTGTGGTAGGCTGAATGATAGCCCCCCTAGAGATGTCCACATTTTAATCCCTGGAATCTCTGAATACATTATCTCATATGGTAAAATGGACTTTGCAAATGTGATTAATGTTCTTAAGGTGGGAGAGATTACCCTGGATTATCAAAGTGGGCCTAATGTAATCACAAGTGTCTTTATTAGAGGGAGGCAGCAAGATCAGAATGAGTAGAAGGAGATGCAATGGCAGAAACAAGAAGCTGGAGTGACATAAGAAAGGGACTATAAGCCAAAGAATGTGGGTGACCTTTTTGACCCATTGGACTCTTTCAGGAAAAAAAAAAAAAAAAAAGGAATGTGGGTGGCCTCTAGAAAGCTGAAAAAGGCAATGAAACAGATTCTCTCTTTAAGCTTGCAGAAAGAACACAGCTTTGCCAACACCTTGATTTTAGATTTCTGACCTCTTGAACTTGTAAGAGAATAAATTGGTGCTATTTTCAGTCACTAAATGTGTGGTAATTTGTTACAGCAGCAGTGGGAGACTAACCGTACCTATAGTGCCTTCATAATTTATTCCATACTCTCTCATATCATTTTTTTAAGCCATAGGAATCCCTTCTTCTATTTCTCAAACGAATTGTCATCCAGTCTTGGTTTAAAAAACCACACTAATCAGGAGCCTTTTTCCTACTGAGTCTCTCATTGCTTGATGGACTCACTAGAATCCTTAGACCGTAGGCAATCAGAATGAAGTGAAAAAGCCTTAGTCTAGCAAGTTTTACATTAGATTATTCCATTGTCTTTGAAAGCAGGGATCTTGCTTTGTTTTCCCACATTATTGGGTGCTCCCACAGAGACATGAGAGAGTGGGGATGGGAGAAAGTCATGAACGATACCATTGCTGTATACAGGAAATGTTTAGCAGACTATCTGAAAGTACACTTTAGTATATACTCCTGTTTAATGCTCACAGCAACTTTATCTTACAGATGAAAAAATAAGGCTCAGCAAAGGTAATTGACTTCCCTGAGTTTACATAGCTAGTAAGTACTAAAGTGAGAACTCGAACTTAAGTCTTCTGACTTCAAATGAATGCAATGAAACAAACAAACACTTACGAATACTGATTCTGTGCCAGATTTTTTACATATGTGAATTAATCCCCACTGGAGAGCCTATAAGAATAAACTAATTTGGTTCATCTTTGCAGGTGAAGAGATTCAGGTTCAGAGAGTTTGAGTAACTACCCAAGGTTACCCAAGCTTACAAAGCTTAAATTAAAACACTAATCTGACTCCAGTTCTCTTTTCACAATATCACACAGTATTATGTGGCTATTAGTGTTATTAAGAATATTTGGGCCAGGTATGGTGACTCACACCTATAATCCCAGTACATTGGGAAGCCAAGGTGGGAGGATCGCTTGAGCCCAGGAGTTCAAGACCAGGTTGGGCAACATGGCAAAACCCTGTCTCTACTGAAAATACAAAAATTATCCAGGTATAGTGGCACATGCCTGTAGTCACAGCTACTCAAGAAGCTGGGGTGGGAGGTTCTCTTGAGCCCGGGAGTCAAGGCTACAGTGAGCAGTGATCTCGCCACTGCACTCCAGCCTGAGTGACAGAGTGAGACCCTATTAAAAAAAAAGTGTGTGTATGTATATGTGTGTGTGTGTGTGTGTGTGTGTGTGTATGGCGTATTTGCTAGTAGCAGAGAATGCATTTACAGATTTCCTTTTTCAGTTTTTTAAAATAATGACATCATCATCATTATAAGGTATGTAAAGCAGGCTAGACAGCTCCTTTGTTTTAATGAGGGGAAACCAAAAGCACGGTAACAAGAAAGTTAAATGACCTGCACACAATACTACAGCAATCAGAATGATGCAGTGGGCCAGTGAAAAGCAAAGGATAATGTCTATTCAAAAGGCCAAAGGTGTCTCTGCTCCCCTCCTATCAGGCATAAGAAAGGGTGATTCTTGAGGGGAAGGAGTTTGGGATGTGCCCAACTCAATCTGTCACCAAACCACACCACCTGGAACACCCTAGACTGGACCTGATTCCCAAGGCCTACCCATTTTTTTGTTTTGTTTTGGTTTGTTTTGTTTTTGGTCTGGTCTGGTTTTGTGTTTTGGAGTTGAGGATGAGAAGAACCTAAGGCATTCGTGGGGACTTTGGCTTCATGGTAATGTAATATCTTCCTTTTCTCTAGACTTCTATTCAAGGATTGCTGATCACGAAGGACACTCTGGTTCTTTCGCTTTTTAAGGAATAATGCAGAGATTAATTACTTGGATAATTAGTTTCAACATATCTGGTCTATGTCAGTAGCAAACTATTATACTGACAGGAAAATGAACTTTTATCTCCTGTATGAGTTACTTTGCTAAATTAAAGGCATCTCACATGATTTAAATAGAGCCAAAAAAATAGCATGCAACCTTACTGTTAGGAGCATATTAAAATAGTGCAGAGTAGACCATGTAATTTCTTTAAAATTGCCAGTTGAGTCCTTGTTAGCATCTTTTTCTTTTGTCTGAGTAGTAAATTACTGATGAGTCCCATTTATTCTGCAATCACATTTCACATGCTCAAAGTTCAGTGCTATAGTCTACTTATGGATTTGTTATTACTATTAATCTAAATTAGGTTTGTTTTCCTCCTTAGTTAGCTGTAAGTTTATGGTGAGATTGGTATTTCTTAGATAAACTACATGTTAATGTCTGTTGTTTCTCAGCCTGTTGGATGACCCTGCATTAAAATTATGATGCTGGCCAGGCACAGTGGCTCACGTTTGTAATCCTAGCACTTTGAGAGGCCAAGGCAGGCAGACTGCTTGAGCCCAGGAGTTCAACACCAGCCTGAGCAGCATGACAAAACCCCATCTCTACTACAAATACCAAAAAATAACCTGGCGTGGGGGTGCGTGCCTGTAGTCCCAGCTGCTTGGGAGGCTGAAGTGGAGAATCACTTGAGCCCAGGGAGGTTGAGGCTGCAGTAAGCCATGATCACGCCACTGCACTCCACCCTGGGTGACAGAGCGAGACACTGTCTCCAAAAATAAAACAAAATTATGGGCCAGGCCTGATGGCTCACACCTGTAATCCCAGAACTTTGGGAGGCTGAGGCAGCAGGATCACTTGAGGTCAGGAGTTCGAGACCAGCCTGGCCAACAAGGCAAAACCTCATCTCTACTAAAAATAAAAAATTAGCCAGGTGTGGTGGTGGTGTGCCTGTACAGGAGAATCACTTGAACCCAGAAGGCAGAGGTTGCAGTGAGCTGAGATTGTGCCGCTACACTCTAGCCTGGGCGACAGAGTGAGACTCCGTCTAAAAAAAAAAAACAAACAAACAAATTATGATGCTTTGTTTGCCATTAGCAGCATTTGGTTAACATTTGCAGTAGTAGTGCACCTGTGGTCCACATACTGATTGATATATGCTAAGATCCTAAAGGGTACATTCATTCTGAGAGCTGTCTCTTTTGGGAAGAGAAATCCATTTCAGAGGAATGAAGGCTTTGAAATGTAAATGCAACCATATTCTTTGTTAAGTCTAGGAGAAGCCCAAATATTTGAAGCCCAGAGAAAACAATTGCAGAGGGAGGGGCTAATGACCTATCTGCTAAGCTGAATTTGGCTTGGGAACCTGGATCATGAGAGGTTCCTAAGCCAGTTTAAAAGACAAAGTGAACTGTAGTGTCACCAAGATACTCTGTGACTTGCAGGTCCTAGGGTTTTCAGCGTTTATAGATTGCAAAAGGACATTGTATGGGTTTAAGCAAAAACAAGCCACTTGAAAAGCATTACTTTATTTTCCTCTTTTTTAAAAAAATATTTATTCATTCCTTAAATGTTTGGGGGGCAATAAACTTTGCATACTTGGCTGGTTGTGTAGGTATTCATTGCCACCTTGATAAATGTTGAAAGTGCCATCTGATTCTTATTGGGCATTTGGTGTGCCTGATGAAATGCTTCAGTGGCATACTTTTAATATATTTTAATAGGATGCTATAGGTATGTTACATTTTACATTTTTTCTTAACATAATTCTCAGTATGTTAGGAAATTGATATCAGAATATAAATATATCAAAATATTAAGTGTTTGTCTCTGGATTGTAGTAAAACAGTTGGATTTTGGGGTTTTTTTTCTTTATATTTTATGTATTTTCCACGTTTTATACTATAACTATATTACATTTTTTAACGATTATATATATATATATATATATATATATATATAGAGAGAGAGAGAGAGAGAGAGAGAGAGAGAGAGACAGGGCCTTGTTCTGTCACCCAGGCTGGAGTGCAGGGGCATGATCATAGCTCACTATAACCTCAAATTCCTGGACTCAAGTGATCTTCCTGCCTCAGCCTCCCGAGTAGCTAGGACTACAGGAGTGCATCACTATACTCAGCTAATTTTTTGTAGAGGCAGGGTCTCACTATGTTGCCAAGGCTGAAAAAAAATTTTTAAACACAGAATTTGGCAGTATAAAATATAAAATTGGCTGGGCGTGGTGGCTCACGCGTGTAATCCCAGCACTTTGGGAGGCTGAGGTGGGCGGATCACAAGGTCAGGAGTTCACGATCAGCTTTGGCAACTTGGTGAAACCCCGTCTCTACTAAAAATACAAAAATTAACTGGGCGTGTTGGCTTGTGTTTATAATCCCAGCTACTTGGGAGGCTGAGGTAGGAGAATCTCTTGAACCTGGGAGGCAGAGGTTGCAGTGAGCCGAAATGGTGCCACTGCACTCCAGCCTGGGTGACAAAGCAAGACTCTGTCTCAAAAAATAAATAAATAAATAAATAAAATATAAAGTTGCAGTATCTAACAGCAAATTTTACTCTCTCATTTATTTCCGGACTTAGACCCTTTGGGAGAAGATCATAGTACTGCAGAGCCGAAGAAATTCCATCACCTTCCTTCAAATCCCCTCTAATGGCAATTCTGATAATTTTCCCAAGTTCTGTTATTCTTTATACTTACCAGCACTGTAGCAGTGGGAAAATTCACAGCTGAACAACTTCTCTTCCACAGTTCATCCAATATTAACCATTTAAGCATAATTCTTGCATAATTTCCCCATTGTTCAACTTTTTAGAAGTTAGTGGTAGTTATCTCTAAGGCTACCTTGGAGTATATTGACAACTAAATATATTTTCCTTCTGTTTCTTAAGTGCTTTCAACTTTCAGTTGAGTAGTGTAATTGCTTTATGGTACTCACTGGAGAGCTTTAAACATGATTAGCATATGCTTGGAAATGTTAATAAAAGCATTTAATAAATTTTTGCAATTTGCCTCAAGAGTGATAAGACAGTGGGAAGTCTTGCAGTACAAGAATTGATGAAGCCCCTGATATTATATATGAATTCATCGAAAGGGAACAATATGTTGGAGTTCATTTTTGTTGTAGCTGAGTGAGCTAGTGCCAGTGAGAAGGTGAGGAATCAAAAGTGAGAAGCCCCATCACATTGTCTTAATTAGCCTTGTAACAAAACAATTATTTCCTTCTGATCAGTCTTAACAGACAATAGCCACTTGATTGTAGTAGAATTGGTACACGTATGCCCATTTGTTTCCATCCAAGCTGTTTAATTAACTATAATTTAGTGTGGTTTATGTATATGTCAGAGCACTAGATACCACGCTAAGAGATCATAATTTTCACAGCCAAACAAGGCACAAATCTAGTGCACCTTTTCCCAATTTATCTGCAAATTTTCCCTCTTCCAAATTCTAGTTAAATGAATTCTGTTTGGCTTTTTAAGTTTTCACAATGTTTGTTCCTATAAGTAATTCTGACAGTTTTTTCTCCTTTATATCATGTTCTGATTATAGAAAGAATACTTGAATTTTTTTTTTCTTTTTAATAAAGATGTGGTCTCGCTATGTTGCCGAGGCTGGTCGCAAATTCTCCCACCTTGGCCTCCCAACCTGCTGGGATTATAGGCCTGAGTCGCTGCACCCGGCCAGAAATAGTTGATTTTTTAAGGATATTTTGGAATTAGAGGAAGAAAATAGATCACTTATAATCCTCTCACACAGAACAACAATATTTATTAATATTTTGATGTACTTATTTCTCGTATTTTTTCTAAGCTTATACATAGGTTTTCTTCTACAAAATTGGTGTTACATTATATATAGTCTGTATTTTTTCTTTTCTCTTTCAGAATTACGAGCATTTCCTTCATCTTAAAATTTTCATGAATATGATTTTTGTTGGTGCATTATATTAAAAGGATATATGTAATAAGAATTTTCAGTGAGCATTTATGTGCATATCTTTTTTGCTGTCGATGTTATTTTTGAAGCTTAATATATATATGTTTGGACTTATCCCGAATTAATACTCTATATAAACTTTAAACCTCTAGTAATACCTTTACTTTTTTCATTTTTTGTGAATATCGCAATCTTTGAAAAGAAAGTGGTAGGAGAAACAGAAAGAGAAGAGAGAAAATGGAACTAGTGATAGGAGATAGCCATCAGGGCTGCAATAAATTGGGAGTTGTTACTAACCATCTGTGGCCTTGAATGAAGTTTGTAATACTAATGGCAAATTTGTAATAATTAAATAAAAATAACTTGATTTGCTCTTTAAAAAGCATATTACTTGGCATTATCAAGAAAGTAAATGTCATAGTGGCTCATGCCTGTATGGCCACAGTGGCTCATGCCTGTAATTCTAGCACTTTGGGAGGCCAAGGCATGCGGATCACCTGAGGTCAGGAGTTCGAGACAAGCCTGGCCAAAATGGCAAAACCCTGTCTCTACTAAAAATACAAAAATTAGCTGGGCATGGTGGTACGCACCTGTAGTTCCAGCTACTCAGGAGGTGGAAGCAGGAGAACCCCTTGAACCTGGGAGGTGGAGGTTGCAGTGAGCTGAGATCGTGCCACTGCACTCCAGCCTAGGCGACAAAGTGAGACAAAAAAAAAAAAAAAAAAAAGAAAGAAAAGAAAAGAAGCGAAAGGAAGAAAGAAAGAGAGAAAGAAAGAAAAGAATGTAAATGTCTATTATTAATACCTTGACACTAAGAAAAATCCTGCTTTAGGTATTTCTTTGCTATCTATTATCAATCTTCTCTCCTCTTATTCTGTATCTTCCTAAAGCCATGGGAATAAAGAAGAATTCTCCTGCAGAGGAATACAACTTGCAGTGGATTGGTTTCTAGATAAAGGCCATAAAGATATTACTGTATTTGTGCCTGCGTGGAGAAAGGAGCAATCCCGCCCTGATGCACCAATTACAGGTACTATGTCAAATAAGGTATTTCTTCTCATCTAGAGGCAAATCTGGAAAGATAGTTTGGGGATGGTCCCAATTTAGATATTTATTTTTCAAAGTTGTTAAGTATATTTAAAGTATTTGTATTAAGTGTATATTTGAAAAAAGATTCAAAGAAAGCCATCATTATTTTGTAGCATCTGACAGTTAAATAAAGAAAACTTCAATTCGGCAAAAGATAAAGTATATAGTTTTTTTAAAAAAGGAGTGCTTTTCTATTTGACCATAGACTTCAGACTAAAGGGAGATGAATCTGGTTATGAGCATGACTAAGTTTTCAAGAGAGTAAAAACACCATGGTGGACAATGGATCTCATTCTGTACCAAAGAAGTGATTGTGGGGTTTGCAAATTAGGGAATAAAAGAGAGAGAGAGAAAAGTCCCACAGCAGTCAGAGCCAACTTATCCATGAGACACAGTAGGTCTGGCACCTAGGGCCAATGATATTGTTAAGGTCCCATGGAAATGTCTTAATTTTATTTTCTTCTCACATCAGAAGAAAAAATTGAATATAATAGCAATGCATGTAAAATGATGTATCTACCTGGGTTATCCTTGACTTTATACCAAAGCAATTGAAAATGAAATTTTTAATATTTATATTTGTTTGAGACAGGGTCTCACTCTGTCACCTAGGCTAGAATGCCATGGTGTGATCATGGCTCACTGCAGCCTCTACCTCCCTGGGCTCAGGTTTTTCTCCCACCTCAGCCTCCTGAGTAGCTGGGACTACAGGTGTGTACCACCATGCCTGGCTAATTTTTGTATTTTTAGTAGAGATTGAGTTTTGCCATGTTGCCCAAGCTGGTCTTGAACTCCTGGGCTCAAGCTATCTGCCCACCTCAACCTCCCAAAGTGCTAGGATTACAGGCATGAGCCACCATGCCCAGCCAATATTTAACATTTCTTATGGAGGAAGAAGTCCAGGAAAGCAAAAATGCCTAAGGTTTTCAAAAGTCATGATGCACTCCTAATGGCAGAGGGGTCTCTACATTCATTTACAACAGTCTTCTGAGCATCAACTGTTGCCTAATGTGCCTAATGAGAAAGTCCCATGAATGACTGTCTGAGCTGTGTGTGAAGCTATTTGCCATCTGCTGAACAGGCTCTTGAGCCTCCATCTGAGAATAGATCCTAGCCCTGCTCGAGCCCAGCCAGCAAGCTTTCTTGCCTCAGCAACTAGTAGACCAAAAGGAAAGGGGATCAGCACTCAGTTGCTATATCTTAATGTTTCACCCTAGTTTTGGCCTTCCCTCAGGCAGAAGCCAAAAATGTAAGTCCCTAGGAGAGATGCTTTAGTTTCCTCCTGGCAGACACATCCTCAGTACTTCCCTGTTAGAAATCAACAACCAAAAAGCTGGTGCTTTGGCCAAAGGGCAAAACAAGCATCAAGAATGCTAAGATATCAGTGTCACTCTCACTCTTCCTGTAGTTTTTAAAACTTAGATGTCATTGAATCCAGTTCCTTCATTTTATCAAAAAGAAGACTGAAGTCCAAAGGGGAAGATGACTTGCCTGAGGTCATAATCCAGATTGATATCATAGCCAGGAACAGGGCCTACTTTCCCTCTAAGGGTAAATAATATCTTCATCCAGTACCAACTTTTGCATTTTTAATATTGGGGTAATACTGTTAATTTCCAAAGATGATTTCTGCTCTGTGGCATATAATCATATTTTGACAGATCAAGATATTCTACGAAAACTGGAGAAGGAAAAGATTCTCGTCTTCACACCATCCCGAAGAGTCCAAGGCAGGAGGGTTGTCTGCTATGATGACCGGTTCATAGTCAAACTGGCTTTTGATTCTGATGGCATCATTGTGTCCAATGATAACTACCGAGACCTTCAAGTTGAAAAGCCAGAATGGAAGAAGTTTATAGAGGAGCGGTTGCTGATGTATTCTTTTGTGAATGACAAGTGCGTTTCTTTCCAGTAGGCCTATATTCAAGTTATCAGTAGGAATAGATTTTACTTTAATAAACATTTGCCAAACACTTACTGTGTATCATACATTTTGCTAGTTGCCACAGACATAAAAGGATGAATAAAGAAGAGGACTCACCCTTAAGGGACTCAAAGTGTAGTAGAAGAGTGAAAGAGACAACCACAGTGTTTTGTTGTAAGAGCTACAGTTAAAAGTTGTTTTTTTAAAATTGCTTTGTCTATGTGAAGTAATAGAAAAAGGCATCCCAGAGGAGATGACATTTCAGATCAAGTTTACAGATGGAGGAAAGGGGGCTGCTAGGCATGAGAGATGAGGGGGACATCATGAATAAAGTTATGAAGGTGTGAAAGTGGGTAGCATGTTGGTGGAACCAGCAGACATGCCAGTATGGCTCGAACATGTAGTTCATGGAAGAATGATGAACAGGGAAAATCATCCTTTCTATGTGATAAAGTGGCAACAAAGGGGAGAACTTCTAGATTAGCAGAGGATAGACTTGAGGCACGAAGGGCAATTAGAAGGCTGTGACAATGGTACAGGCAAGAGGTAATGAAAGTCTGAACTCCTAGTAAGGAGTAGGGGACAGAAAGGAAGACAGTCACCTCTTGTTTACTTGCTTTCAGATTTATGCCTCCAGATGATCCATTAGGACGCCATGGCCCAAGCCTTGAAAATTTCTTAAGAAAGAGACCCATTGTTCCTGAGCATAAGAAGCAACCATGTCCTTACGGTGAGTACCTATGTACAAAACTGAGTTCTGTACCACCAGAAGCATAAGAATTCTTCTGTGAATACTTTTCTCTTCCAGGTTTCCCTTTCAAATGGGAAATCTTGGCTTGTCCACTGTCTTTGAGTTAAAGTTTGTGTCTTCATGTGCACCGTTAGGTATTTAAAGAAAAATTTTAGAAACTGAATGAGGAAAAGGTAGCTAGAATTGAAGGGAAGATCAGTTGTCACTTGTGACAATAGCACATGTGCTCTAGCTGCCTAAGTCCTGAACTATGTTGCTAGGAGCAGGGAAATGAAGAAACCTATATGGCCTGTGGAAGCAGAAAGGGCAATACTGAACTGAGTTTGGCCCTAAGATGAACCTGTGTCTCAGGCAGGTGACTGCACCCTCTGTCAATTAATACTAACCTTTCCTTTAGATCTGTCCTTTCCAGTTTTTTTGTTTGTTTGTTTGTTTTGAGACAGTCTCGCTCTGTCACCTAGGCTGCAGTGCAGTGGTGCAGTCTTGGCTCACTGCAACCTCCGCCTCCCAGGTTAAAGTGATTCTCCTGCCTCAGCCTCCCCAGTAGCTGGGATTACAGGTGCACGATGCCAAGCCCAGCTAATTTTTATATTTTTAGTAGAGACGGGGTTTCACCATGTTGGCCAAGCTGGTCTCAAACTCCTGACTTCAAGTGATCCATCCACCTCGGCCTCTGAAAGTGCTGAGATTACAGGCATGACGCACCCAGCCCCTTTCCAGTTTTCCTTTTTTTTTTCTTTTTTTAATAAATATATTTTTCTAGAGTGTTTTCACGCTCTTATCCCAGTCCCTCTGATACAAGGTTTGTGTGCCTGACATTGTGACAGGGCTGCTTGATCTGAGGCTACTTTGAATGTCTGTTTTTTTGGATGATCATTTGTTTTGTGGGTCGTTTTGGTTTTTGTCCTCAATTAACATTTAAGTCACAGAGTACTTTCATATTCATTATCTCATTTAATCTTTACAATGACCCTATAATATAGGCATGATGATGAACTTTGTTTACAGAAGAGGAAAATGAGGCTCACAAAATAAAGTCACTTACCAAAGTCACACAGCTAGTAAGGGACATAGCTGGAATTGAAATTCAGATCTGACTGGACTCCAAACCTGTGCTCTTTGCACTGCACTGTGCTGCTTTCTGTTACTCTATGCTGCTTCAGCATGCAAATTATGCCTAGGCAAAGTCGTACATTATCGAAAACTTAAAACTGCTCAACTGCTCAGCTTTAGCTTTTTTTTTTTTTTCTGAGACAGGGTCTTGCTCTGTCACCTGGGCTGGAGAGCAGTGGCATGATCATGGCTCACTGCAGCCTTGACCTTCCAGGCTCAAGAATTCTCTCACCGCAGCCTCCTGAGTAGCTGGGACTACAGACCTACACCACCATGCCCAGCTAATTTTGTTTATATTTTTCTTTACAGATGGGGTTTCACAATGTTGCCCAAGTTGGTCTTGAACTCCTGGGCTAAAGTGATCCACCCACCACAGCCTCCCAAATTGCTAGGACTACGGACAGGAACCACTGCATCCAGCCAGCTATTAGCTTTTATGCTGCAATTTTCTCCATAGCTTTCCACTTTCTCTCTCCCATCACAGTGTGTGATGCCGCCTTGGTGTTGTCTGTCTCTCATCTTTGTGGACAGTTAATTTTCTGCCTTTACCCCAAACAGTAAAACCCTAACCTGAGTGACCAGATTGTTACAACAGTTTCTGGCACGGAGGGTTCCATCACTGAGAGAGAGTCTTACCCCAAGGCATTATTTTTCAGGCAAAAAATGCACCTACGGCCACAAGTGCAAATACTACCATCCGGAGCGGGCCAACCAACCCCAGCGTTCGGTGGCTGATGAGCTCCGCATCAGTGCCAAACTGTCCACAGTGAAAACTATGAGTGAAGGCACCCTGGCCAAGTGTGGCACAGGGATGTCTAGTGCCAAAGGTGAGATAACCTCAGAGGTCAAACGTGTGGCCCCCAAGCGCCAATCAGATCCCAGCATCCGGTCTGTGGCTGTGGAGCCTGAGGAATGGCTGTCCATTTCCCGTAAGCCTGAGGCTAGTTCTGTCCCCTCGCTTGTGACTGCCCTAAGTGTTCCCACAATCCCACCCCCAAAAAGCCATGCAGTGGGTGCACTCAACACCCGTTCGGCCAGCAGCCCAGTACCAGGATCCTCCCATTTCCCCCACCAGAAGGCCTCTTTGGAGCATATGGCCAGCATGCAGTATCCTCCCATCCTGGTTACCAACAGCCATGGGACCCCTATTAGCTATGCTGAGCAATACCCAAAGTTTGAATCCATGGGGGACCATGGCTACTATTCAATGTTAGGTGACTTCTCCAAACTGAACATCAACAGCATGCATAATCGAGAGTATTACATGGCTGAAGTAGACCGGGGGGTATATGCCCGGAATCCTAATCTCTGTCCTGACAGCCGTGTGAGCCATACCAGGAATGACAACTATTCCTCTTACAACAACGTGTATTTGGCTGTAGCTGATACCCATCCTGAAGGCAATTTGAAGCTGCACCGCTCAGCATCCCAGAACCGACTTCAGCCTTTTCCTCATGGTTACCATGAAGCCTTAACACGAGTGCAGAGCTATGGCCCAGAGGATTCTAAGCAAGGCCCCCACAAACAGTCAGTCCCCCACTTAGCTCTGCATGCCCAGCACCCAGCAACTGGAACACGTTCCAGCTGTCCTGCAGACTACCCCATGCCTCCCAATATCCATCCTGGGGCAACCCCCCAGCCAGGCCGTGCCCTGGTGATGACTCGGATGGATAGCATTTCTGACTCCCGCCTCTATGAGAGCAACCCCGTGAGGCAAAGACGACCTCCCTTGTGCCGGGAACAGCATGCCAGCTGGGACCCGCTGCCCTGTGCAACTGACTCCTATGGCTACCACTCCTATCCCTTGAGTAACAGCCTCATGCAACCATGTTATGAGCCAGTCATGGTACGGAGCGTGCCTGAAAAGATGGAGCAGCTTTGGAGGAATCCTTGGGTTGGAATGTGCAATGATTCCAGGGAGCATATGATCCCAGAGCACCAGTATCAGACCTACAAGAACCTCTGCAATATTTTCCCTTCTAACATCGTCCTTGCAGTGATGGAGAAGAATCCCCACACAGCAGATGCCCAGCAACTGGCAGCCTTGATTGTTGCTAAGCTTAGGGCTGCACGTTGATATGACATAGTACTTATTTCTTTATACAAATATGAATATTAATACTAACAATACACTAACACAATAATTATAGTAACTAATAATTTGTGTTGCGCTTTACAAGTTACAGAGTGTTTATATCATTTAAGCGCATAACAACCCTGTGAGGTACGTCTTACTAACATCCTCTTTTATAGAGAAGGAAGGTGAAGCTCAGTGAAATTAAGTGGTTAGCCAGGGTCACACTGCTAGCAAATGACTAAGTCAAGACACACACCCAAGTCTTCTAAATCCAAGTCCTATGCCCCTTTGCACTGCACCATGCAGGTAATGGAGGACAAAACCCAGGGGGAGAGGTCTAGACGTAAGAAACCCCAGAGGATTCCATTACCAGAGTTTTCCTTTTTTTTGTTTGTTTCTTTTTTTCTTTTCCTTTTTTTTTTTGAGACAAAGTCTTACTCTGTTACACAGGCTGGAGTGGCACTATCTCTGCTCACTGCAACCTCCGCCTCCAGGGTTCAAGCGATTCTATGACCTCAGCCTCCCAAGTAGCTGGGATTACAGGCATGCACCACCATGCCCGGCTAATTTTTGTATTTTTAGTAGAGACGGGGTTTCACCATGTCGGCCAGGCTGGTCTCAAACTCCTGGCCTCAAGTGATCCACCCGCCTCGGCCTCCTAAAGTGCTGGGATTACAGGTGTGAGCCACCACGCCCAGCCTACCAGAGTTTTCATAGTCACATATTCTATATTACAAAGTATGGATGATATATCCAATTTAGAGAGCAAAAGCATCAGGATCAGATCATATGTTGAATTAACCTTTTAGGTTTTTTCTAATAGAAATATTTAAAACTATTTAAAAGTAAATGCATACTTTATTGCATGGATATCTGATCATTCAATCTTTATTAACGAAGCTATAGGGTCACATTGAAGCTTCTAGAACTATATTTTAAATCTATTATTAGCAATTATATTGCATGTATGAATATATATATTTGGTTTGAGATGTGTGTGTATCTCTGTATAACCTTTTATATAGTGATAATGAGAGGGTAGGCTCTACAGTCTTTCGTCTATAGCTGTATAGGTCACTAATCTGACTTGATGATTTTAAGTCACATTTCATAGTTTCAACTAGTTATGAGAGTGAAAATTATATGGCAATATTTGAACATTGCTTTCTTAGGCACCAGAGCAAAGCAGCTCTGTTTCCTTTGCACATTTTACCTGCCAACATTTATTAACAGTTCTTAGCTTCCAAGTCTCTTCACCTTAGCAAATCAGGGATCAGGTTGCAGTCTTCTGCAGAGGAACTGATGGTTAAGCTCAAGTTCCAAGCATAGTATGTGTGTGCTACACAAGCTCAGAAGAGTTTGACAAGGACCAGGGGACTTACTACCACAATCCACTTCCCTTATCCCAGGAGAGATGGCCAAACACATGTGGCATTAAATGGTGAATAAAAAAGCTCCACTCAAGGAGGGACTATTGGATGCTCTTTGGACTTCCAACCTATGCAGTATTCAACATCACTGGATGAAATGTAATGGAGGACAGTGCACAGCCATGTATCCACTTTCTCTTCCTGTCCACCCTTTGGGTAATAAGGTCAATCATTGGTGGAACAGAATTTCTCTAGGAAACAAAACCAGGGGATTTTCTATGTGGAAGAAGGAAGTTTCCAAAAGGGGATACTGCATCTTTACTAATAGCTGGCTCAGTTATGCACTTTAAATCCACGCAAAGAGAGTGCACTTGCTGTTAAATAATTGTTAGATGAGTTACTAGAAGGCAGGACTTTCAGTTTGGGCGACACCATTTGTGCAACTTGTATCTTGCTCAGGGTGGAAAACTTCATAGCTAAATGCCTCTAGAAGAGGTGTTTATTGTTTTTTTTAAGCTGCACTAAATGAATTCCCTTTTTGAATCCACTGTATATTTCAATATTTCGAACCATGACCAGCTCACTATTTCCTGAGCTGGAACTTGCTAACTTCTATGATCGTTTTTTCATGAAAGTTGAGAAGGCCGGGCCTTGGCCTTTTGTTTCTTCATGAGAAGGTGTGACACTGCCTATAAATGTTTCTTACTGTGAAACACTCTGAATGTGAGGCTGTAGTCAGGGTTGTTTCTGGTGGTTTGATAATGGCTTGCATGCTGCTTTCTGGCTTTCTGTCTCTGTCCAAGTTGATCAATACTGCATCTTAACCAATGTTTCACTTCAGTTAACCACAGCTTTACATTCTATCTCCTATCCTTTGATCTTCGTATACCCCAGCATATTGAAAAAGAGTAAAAGTATTTTCTATCAGGTAGGTCCACAGAGTGACAGTTGCCACTGCAGTGCTTGCTATTTCACACAAACACCATTTCATACCTTCAACTTCTTGGACTTTCTCAATTGGACCTGTGTCTAAATCAGGGTATTTGACAATCTCAGATGATGCTACTGCCTATGTGCCAGTTAGTTCATCTTCCTACCAAAATCATCAATGGCACCACAGTATCAACGAGCTGTACAATTTACAGGGAAGCACAAGATTAATCTTGTCACCTATAATTCGTCTTGAACATGTTCATATTTAGTACTCAGAAAACGTGTAAGCTCCTCCCAATACAGAAAATTCTTTTAAGGCAGCATATGTATTTCTGATTTACTAAAAATGATTGTCATCCTCCTCTCATTCTTCTTTTTGGTATGAACCAAAAGCGGCTAGGAGCAATGCCTCAAATAACCAGAAATGACCTTTTGTTGATACAAATTGTATCTCTTTTTTTCCTGATTGTATAGAAACAAATGTACAAAACTCATCTTAAGCTAGGTTTGGCACTGAATTTTCACCATGAGGTTTGTGGCACTGTGTGTCACAGGGAAGTAGCTCAGGGGTTGTGAGGGAGCTTTTATTTCTAAAGGGCAGTAGTAATTTATAGACAAAAACAATTTTTCAAGGCCTCTTTATTACCAGTGCACAGTTATCACGTGTACAATTTCAAGCATTATATTGCATAAGTTCTCTTTAGACTATTAAATTTAATATGTCCTTGAAAAAGGGATTTTGTATAAAAAGTGTCAGTGTTAGTGACTCATCTGCAAGAATCTATAAATGGAGCTATACAAATATGAATACATAAATACAGCATGGTTCTTAGTTATTAGAGAAACATTTTCTTTATATTGAGGTCTAGGCACTTCTTGACTTTCCATTTTGTCTGTAATTATAAAACAGCAAGTAACAAAGAAGCATTGGGACCCCCTCGGCTGCCTTGATAATAAAATCAAGCTTCCTTCATGGGGCTAAGCATGTGTCCTTCAGGATACTTACCTCTAAGCACTCAGCAGGGGTTACTACAAAGCGTTTTGTGTGGTTTTCAAGAAACAGTGTGTTTTGCAAGAGGTGCTTTGTAATTTTAATTATTTCACTGATTTTCTGACCTCATAGCAAGTCTGTGCCTGTTGAGGCCTTCAATTTTGTAGCTTTTCTGATTTTTTTTCTTCTTTTTGTGATTTTGTTGTTTTCATTTTGATCTAAAGGAGAAGTGTGACCCCGGAGTGGCATGGTCAATCCAGGGCACCCTTTCTGTAAGACAACTCAAAGGAAAAGAAGCCTTTTCAAAGGTAATATCGAGCCATTGCACTCTCTCTTAAGGTGCCAGGTATGGAAGGGAGAATGACAGATGCCTTATGGAAATGGTCTACGAAACTTTTCTTCTTCTAAGTAATAAAGCACATAGCATGATTCTCTCTCTCTCTCTCTCTCTCTCTCTCTCTCTCTCTGCCCACCCCCTGCTAGTTTCCAGGAGAATACTTCTCTAAAATTCATTTTTTTCTATTTTGGAATAAATTATCTTTATACAGTAATTCAAACACTGATTTCCATTAACCTTTGGCCCTGAGTTTTCTTCTAACATAGAAGAATTCATTTTGAGAGGCACTCAGTTACCATTCTATCTGTGCTGTAAGTATGGGACTTTGTACAAATGCCCTTTTTGAGGGCCAAAAATTTCAATACACTTTGTTCTACTTTGTGAACCAGGTCTGGATCTGCACAGAGAAAGTAATGCTGAGCTGTCGAGTCCGCTCAGGTCTCCCTCCTAACCCTCCTCTGCCTTCCCCTAGTTTGTTTATCCTCAGGTCTGACACTGAGGAGTGCGTAGTCTTCAACTGAAATGGCACTATAGTTAGTTCTCATTGGAAACAAACAAGTGTATTTCTGGAATCTGCTTGTCTAAAATAGCCAATGCCTTTGTAAAGACAGCATATTCAATATCTATTGTATGGTAGCTAGCTATATACATAGATTGACTATTTTTAGTCCTGGTTTGTGTATTGTTGAGCTATAGTAGTTTGCTTTATCCATTTGTGGGATTAAACAATACTGTTTATTGGTTGTAAACTTTTATAAAATCTCTTTGGGTTTTTTGTTTGACCCAAATATAATGTAAGTCTCAATGACAAAATACACAAAGTTAACCAGAGGTGAGTGAAAATATAGCCCTTCCCCAGTTTTGTCTGCCCCTATAATGCACGTGCATTGCTTTGTAATATGCTCTCACTAGCATGAATGTGCTATGACTACTTCATGAGGTTTTAATTTGTTTCACCTATCATTGTGATGGAAAATGCTGTATCGCTGACAACAATGAACTGTAACCAGTTATTTACTGCATAAACTATTTGTCTACTGACCACTCATGGCTCTGTTTCTTTAAGAATACCAACAACAATGGGCCGGGCGTGGTGTCTCATACCTGTAATCTCAGCACTTTGGGAGGCAAAGCAGGAGGATCACCTGAGGTCAGGAGTTCTAGACCAGCCTGGCCAACATGGCGAAACCCCGTCTCTACTAAAAATACAAAAATTAGCCGGGTGTGGTGGCACGCACCTGTAATCCCAGCTACTCGGGAAGCTGAGGCAGAAGAATTGCTTGAACCCAGGAGTTGGAGGTTGCAGTAAGCCGAGATTGTGCTACTGCACTCCAGCCTGGGCGACAGAGACTCCATCTCAAAAAACAAAACAAACAAAAAATAAAAAACAAACAAAAACCAACAACAACAAAAGTCATACCACACATACATATACATATACTCTAGTTTGCTCCTAAAGTATTAGATTTATGTCCTTGCGACTTATATTGGGATAAACTATAAAGCCAGGGATTTCCCCAAATGTGTTCATCTGAATTTTACCACAGTAAGTATATGTCCTCAAATTTTTGAAGACTAACAGTTCCAAGTGCTAATCGAACTGGTGTTCCCTGCAGGGCAGGGCTGGGCCTGCCTTTGCCCACCAGTCAGAGCCAAGTGGTGGGCCCAGGGCCCAGACTTAATTTTTGTATGCAGCCTATAGTTTCTCCCCTGAATAGCCTCAGGGCCAAAGATACATCATCTGCTGTCTCAGCCAGAATATCAGAGCCAAAAGGTGCCTCCTATCCTACACTTCACACTCAGAGTGCTCAGCTGCATCAACCCCTTCAGGGTATAGTACATGAACTGAGGCTCCAAGAGCACTGAAGAGATTTGACCAAGGCTGAACAGAATTAGTGGCAAAGGCAGGACTGGAAGCCCAGGCCTCATGACTCCCAGGCCAGTAAGCCATTTATCATAGTGGAGTTGGTTCTCTCTCTGGAGCCTCCTACCTACCCTCCACCGCACTCCAGGCCAGTCTCATTCTAAAGGTAGAGGTAGCCATGATGGTTGCAGCAGAGCCCAGCCTACAAGCCTTTGGTAGAGGCTATTTGTGAATCTGAGAATCTTTTTTTGTTATCATCCTCCATGGGACTAAGAGTGCTCGTCTCTCCCCACCTTTTTCCTCTTCTGTCTCTTACTCTTCCTGTCACATTCCTCGGGCATACACGTATCAAGTTCTTACTGAGTACCGGATGGGGGGGTCTGGCCTATACTAAGCTAGGCAGACAGAAGAGGAACAGTCCATCTTGGGGAACTTGCACTCTATTGGGAGAATGAAGCACACTCAGAGAATAGAGTAAGAAATTAAGACTTCCTTGGAGGGCAGTGGCAGCATGAGGGTAAGTAGAGTGGTAAGAACTACTAGAATTCCAAAAAGGGACAATCAACAAATGTCCAGTCATTCTGCCCTAATCTCAGGTGGAAAATGAACTAGTCTGGTCATATCCCTCTCCACCTCCCCTCGGGCCTCATGTAATACCAAGTCCTTCACATCACCATGTTCCAATTATCCTGTACCCTGCACTTGTGCCCCCAACCATGCTTTCTCAGCCTCTCCAGACTTTGACCTTCCTTCTACTCCTTGTTCTGACTAGTACTCTTGCCTTTAAAGATCCAGTGGCAATGTCCAACCTCCTGGTCAAGCCATTGTTAGTCCCTCCCCACAGTGGGCCTTGCAGGAATATTGAGCAATACCTCTTAGCTCTTGTCACTCACTTTGGCACACCGTCTCTACCACAAAACAGGGAGTTCCTTGGGCACGGGAACCATGTTATTTGCCACTGATGAATTACCTATCAGAGGGGACTCTCTGAATTACTGTTGTTGAATAATAATATAATCTATGCTCCCTTTCCTTGACCCCTATCCTTGTTTCCCAGTTAAATGTGTGCATTTCAGGCTGGGCACAGTGGCTCACACCTATAATCCCAGCACTCTGGAGACTGAGACAGGAAAATCACTTAAGGCCAGGCGTTTGAGGCCAGGAGTTTGAGACCAGCCTGAGCAACATAGGAAGACCCCCATCTCTACAAAAAATTCAAAAATTAGCCAGGTGTCATGGTGCACACCTGTAGTCCCAGCTACTCAGGAGGCTGAGATGGGAGGATTGCTTGAGCCCAGTAACTGGAGGCTGCAGTGGCCCATGATTGTGCCCCTGCACTCAAGCCTGTGCAACACAGCAAGACCTTGTCTCCAAAAATAAAAAAAAAAATGAAAATTGTGTGCAGTTCAGACTTTCTAATCAGTCTATCTCTAATCAGACAGAAAACATCCATGGGCACTAGGCTAAGTAAGGTTGCTTCCTGACAGCTCCACTCCCCACCCACCAACTCCTGCCGTCTGAAGCCCTTCAACCTGGCCTCAGAACTCCCAGGTTCCAGAAGGACACCAGCCAACAATGACCCTTGGCTCTTACTCTCTGGACCTGGACTAGAAATGAGCTCATGTAGTCTGCTTCTCATCTTTAGATCAGTCTTTGAGGGCCAGGGGAAAGCATGACAATGGGTTATTTATATAGAGACCTCAGTCCCAATTTCAAGGTTTATCAACCCTGGCATGAACCTACACCACTCACACATACAAAGCATAATATGCTTTAGACAACACTTTCCCATCTATTGTGTTTCAATCCTTATAAGCATGTGAGGCAAATATTATCTCCCTGCAGGTGAAAAAAACTGTGGCATGATTTGTCCAAGGTTGCTCCTCTTAAGTGGTAGAGCTTGTCTGGAACCCAGGTCTTTGGCGAGCTTTTTCCTGTATACCAGTGCATCTGAAACCTCAGTGTGCATCAGAATCACTTCAAGGGCTTGCTAAACCAAAGATTGCTGTCCACTCTCACCCCTTCTGATTCAAGTCAGGAGTGGAGTCCAATAATCTGCATTTCTAACAAGTACCCAGGTGATGTTCACATTTGCTAGAGAACACTGATCTATGCCGACCTATTAACTTGCTCTGTGGCCTTAGACAAATCCCTTTTTTTCCCTATCCCACTGTCTCAATGCATACAATGGAGCGGGGTGGGGGTGTAGACTAGAACTGTGACTTCCAGACCTTATTATTTTTTTTTTTTTAGCAGCAAAACCCATCTTTCTGGCCAGGTGCGGTGGCTCACGCCTGTAATCCCAACACTTAGGGAGGCCGAGGCGGGTGGATCACCTGAGGTCAAGGGTTTGAGACCAGCCTGGCCAACATGGCAAAACCCCATCTCTACTAAAAATACAAAAAACAATTTGCCGGCCTTGGTGACGGGCACCTGTAATCCCAGCTACTTGGGAGGCTGAGGCAGGAGAATCACTTGAACCCGAGAGGCAGAGATTGCAGTGAGCCGAGATCGTGCCATTGCACTCCAGTCTGGGCGACAGAGTGAGGCTGTCTCAAAACAAAACAAAAACAAAAACATCTTTCCAAAGAAATCTTATATATGATTCCAATACATAAGAATCTGGTGAAGTGCTGGATGGGAACCCAGAGCTTGTGGCACCTATCTCCCCACAGAGCAGGCACTGGAGTACCTCCTGGAGTACACAACTGCAAATCCCTTCACTAGATGTAGCCTACATGTTTTTTTTTAATTGAGACGGAGTCTCGCTCTGTCCCCCAGGCTGGAGTGCAGTGGCGCGATCTTGGCTCACTGCAAGCTCCGCCTCCTGGGTTCATGCCATTCTTCTGTCTCAGCCTCCCGAGTAGCTAGGACTATAGGCGCCTGCCACCACGCCCGGCTACTTTTTTTTTTTTTTTGGTATTTTTAGTAGAGACAGGGTTTCACCGTGTTCGCCAGGACGGTCTTGATCTCCTGACCTCGTGATCTGCCCGCCTCGGCCTCCCAAAGTGCTGGGATTACAGGCGTGAGCCACCGCGTCCGGCTGCCTATATGTTCTTTGAGAACGCTTCCAGCTCTGACATTCCAAGATGCCAACAGACTTCTAGCATTTGCCATCGTGAGGGGACAGGGGAGAGTTGGAAGGAAACTGATGCTGCACAAGACTGCTTTGCCCATGCCTATTGCTTGGATCATACACAGCAAAGATCTTAACACTGCTGGGCTGTTGGACTAATGGACCCCTTTGACAATTTGATAAAACCTGTGGACCAGCCCCTTAGAAAAATGATTATACACATACCCACAATGATACTCAGTATATCCTCTGAAGTGTTGTAGACACTCTAGGGGTCCTAATCCAAGTTAAAACTCTTGTCTGGGCTCTGGCACAGCACTTTTACCAAATTCCTCTTTGGCATTTTCTTAGTATAAGCCCTCTCCATCATTTCTTGGTGTGGCCATTTACAGAAATCCCTTAAGGCACCTAGCAGAGGCATCAGGTTATCATTTGGTGACTCTGTCCTTCCTCACCAGGCTGAAGGCTCTAAGGAATGAAAACATGGTTTATTCATCCCTATCTCTTGCTAGCTCAGGGCTGACATGGCGTAGGCACTCTAAGGTGAGGTGAGTTTCTGAGGGGATTTGGTGACCACAGAGAACAGTGGATCAGTCCCTAAGATATTTCTCTTGCTCTAATGCACACCACAAGGAAGCCCACTCTCATCTTTTCTAGGCCAAAAGAGTGCAGAAGTGACAAAGAAAATCTCTCTGGCTTCCAACTGCTGTTTGGTGTATAGTGTGAGCAGGTGTGGAGAACAGCAGGAAGCCTGTTGGGTAGCAGCAAGGCGGCCTGACTCTTCCCACTGTCAGGGAGGCTCTAAACAAACCACCTGGCCACTCGCTAGGCTCTGTGGCCAGCAGTGCCTCTGGGGCCTGATGCTTCCAAGTGAGCTGGCCTCATACTACAGCTGAGAACAGAAATGGTTCGAGGAGTCCGGAGTAAGATATGGGTGGAGCCTGGTTCTGGGAGCAATCAGAGCCAGAGGCCCACAGGGCCTCAGGACCTGGTTCCTGGTCAAGCCTTGTCTGGAGCCTCCACAGTAAAGGGACAACTATACTGGTCTGCCCCAGCACCCACCCTCTTCATCTCACAAACACCAAAACTACAGTTGCCTGTTTA